GGGGTGACTGACGGGGGTGGGGTGACTGATGGGGCAGAGGTGCGTCAGGGTGGGGTGACTGACTGGGGTGAGGTGCGTCAGGGTGGGGTGACTGACTGGGGTGAGGTGCATCAGGATGGGGTGACTGACTGGGGGGGAGGTGCGTCCTACTGTCCGCTCTTTTTCTCTTCTCTCCACCGCTCTCCTGTCCTCCCTTCCACTGTTCTCTCCTCCACTCCCCTCCCCTCTCTGGCTGTCCCATGGTATTGGTTCTCCGCTTACTCGCCCTCCGCCCTCCCGCATGCTGTAAGCGTGGCCCAGTACGTGCACAGGGACACCCCGCTAGTCCGGAGACCTGCTTCCTCGCCTCGTTTTAATGACTAATGAAGGACACGGTGGCTCTGCAGGCGTAGTCCCATTACTCACACGTGCTGACCTCGTCAGGTGACAAGGGGGGGACATTCAGGGACAAACGCTGGCCTGATTTATCAGCCCTGCGTCTGAAATGGCAGCTGCACTTTAGCAGAAGCTCAGCCAGGTAGTGGGAGTGTCCCTTCGCCAATATAAGAACATAAGAAATTTACAAACGAGAGGAGGCCATTCGACCCATCAAGCTCGTTTGGGGAGAACTTAACTAATAGCTCAGAGTTGTTAAAATCTTATCTAGCTCTGATTTAAAGGAACCCAGGGTTTTAGCTTCCGCTACACTAGCAGGAAGACTATTCCATACTCTATCTACACTCTGTGTGAAGAAGTGCGTCCTCAAATTTGTTTTAAAATGTTCTCCCGCTAATTTCTGCGGTACCCCACTATGAACGCAGGCCCACTGTGACGTTGTGCCTTTAATAACTACTCGCTGCTTCCTGTCAGTTAACCAGAGATGAGCTTTGTGTTTCCTGCAGCGGAGAGTCGAATGGCCAGTATTCATTATGCTGAGCAGTAAGCGGCAGGTTCTGCTCTGGTAGTCCATAGGTACGGGTACAGGCACGCCGGGTTCTTCTGCACTGGTAGCCCATAGGTACGGGCACGCCGGGTTCTTCTGCACTGGTAGCCCATAGGTACGGGTACGGGCACGCCGGGTTCTTCTGCACTGGTAGCCCATAGGTACGGGTACGGGCACG